GATGGGCGTGTCCTGGGGGAGGAGCTCAGCCCTGGAATCTGAGAGGTGGAGACGGAGGACCTTGGCGACTTCCAGGCCAGCCTGGGGTACATGGGACCCCATCTCTGAAAGGAAAGAAAGTTTGTAATCGCTTGAAGGATGTTTGGACCACGCGCTCCTAGTTTCTGGTTCAGCACATGCAGGTTGGGGTGTGCTCTTTTCCCCACAACCGGGTCTCCTTGCTGTAGCCCAGGCTAGTCTTGAACTCACTATACAGTCTTGACTACATTTACTGCAGTCCTCCACCCTCCCCGTGGCTGGGAGTCACAGACATTCGCCACCAAGCTTGCCCTAAACAACGGAGGCTGAGGGTTTTCAGATCACACTTTGAATAGCAGCGCCTAAGGTTTTAGGAGATGTTGCATAGATAAAATCTGTAAGAATGCCGGTGGCTCTTTGTAAACCTTGTTACACGTCGGATTGAGGATGCATTGCATTTTAGGAGGGAGTATGCTGGAGAAAATTGTGCATGGGCAGTGATGAAAACAGCGTCTTAACAATCTTTACCCTTTTGAAATAATTTACAGCAACGTATAGAAACAGAAACCAAAATTCCTATATCCGCCCCTTCGTGAAAATGTACAAATTGACTGGCATGCCTTTCATCTGAGCACTTAGAAGGCAGAGGCAGTGAGTCTCTGGGCTCACCCTGGCCAGCCCAGGCTGCATAGTGACACCTTGCCTAAAACAAACTAAACTTTTGAGATTAGTGTTATCAAGCCTGATGGCCTCAGTTCAATCCTGGGACACACGTTGGGGAAACAGAATCAATCCTCCCGGTTGTCCTTTGACCTCCACATGTGCTGTGGTTCCTGAGTGGGCTGCTCTGTGTCAGTGGGGCCAGGAAAACTATGTTCTTTGCAAGACTCCTGTAAAAGATAGATTAAGACAAAAATTTCTCATTCCTTTTCCACACCAAATTTTCTGTGCCATTCAGTAAATAGATGGATGGTCTTTGTTCAGGACTAAGATTAGATTAGATGGCTATTAGATTAGAATAGGAGGGGTCAGAAATGTGAATAAATAGAGCACATTCTTGGGTAAATAATGCCAGCCAAGATTTGGTCTTCTTGTTTGTGTCAAGGTCACACCTTATCTCCAATTCTAATTAATAATAGGGCTGCAGAGATGGCTCAGTGGTTAAGAACATTGGCTTGCCTTCCAGAGGTCCTGGGTTCAATTCTCAGCACTCACATGGCAGCTCTCAACTTTCTGTAACTCTAGTCCCAGGGCACTGATGCCCTCTTCTGGCCTCTCCAGGCACCAGGCACACACTTGGTGCACCATGCAGGCAAGACACCCATACACATAAACTCTAAAACAATAAGAAGGGCTCAGTGGTTGAGTACTTAGCTAACACAAGTGAGGGCCTAGGCTTAGTCCTGAGAACTGAGGGCCTTTGTCCTCCTTACTTTATGTTGCTGTGTTAAAACATTATAACTGAAAGCAACTTGGCAATAAAATAGTTTATTTGCCTTACAGGTTGCAGTCGGTCATCAGAAGCCAATGAGGGAATCTGGAGGCAGGATCTGAAGAAGCCTTGGAGGAATGCTGCTCTCCGACTTGCTCTCCATGGCTTGCTCGGCTTTTTTGTTTTTTATACCACCCAGGATCACCTACTGAGAGATGGCACTGCCCACAGTGGGCCCAGCCCTCCCACATAAATCATTTTTGAAGAAAATGCCCCACAGGCTTGCCTACAGACAGTCTGATAGCGGCATTTTCTCGTTTGACTGGCCCCTCTTCCCAGAGGACTCTAGTTTGTGTCAAGTTGACAAAACAAACAAACAGCACAGTGTTCTGTTGCTGTGATAAAACACTGCTTGAAAGCAACTCAGAAAGTGTCTATTTGGCTTGTACTTCCAGGCACCACCTTGAGAGAAGTCAGGACAGGAGCTTGAGGCAGGAACTGTGGAAGACTGCTTGTTGGTTCTCTCAAGCTCACAACCTGGCTTTCTTTTCTTTTTTGTTTAGTTTTAGACAGGTTCTCATTCCTGGCTGGCCTGGAACTTGCTCTGTAGACCAGGCTGGCCTAAAGCTCACAGAGATCCATCCACCTCTCTCTGCCTCCCCAGTGCTGGGATAAAAGTGTGCTCTGGTTTAGCTAAGTCTCTTGTAGACCATCTATCCAGGGGATGGTGCCACTCACAGTAGGCCAGGCCCTCCTATATCAATTAATAATCAATATACTGCATCACAGACAAGCCCATGGACCAACCTGATCTAGCTCATGCCTGAGTTGAGACTTCTCTCAGAAGACTACAGGCTGTGTCTGGGGGACAAGTCTAGGCAGGACACTAGGGTTCCCAGAACTTATGTCTGGTATGCTGTTACTCTCTGGGATTTTGGGCTTGGTATGCCAGACCTTCTCATCTTTCAAGAAAAACTGGAAATGCAGATTATGTCATTCTCTGATTATATGTTGACAGCTATAGAAATTAAATTAAATTAGCGGGTCAACATGGCATGGGCCAAATCAATAGCTCTTTGAGCCACATCTAGTTATAACATTCTGTGGTGATATATTATTTATGATTTATTAAAGCTTGCCCAAAGATTCAGAAAGCAAAGTCAGCCATAGAAGCCAGGCACACACCTTTAATCCCAGGACTCAGGATCAAGAGGTAGATGGATCTCTGAGTTCAAGGCCACACTGAGCTATAGGAAATTGATCCAGTCCTAGAGAAACAGCTCACACAAAGGTGATCTCAGCACTTGGGATCACATGCCTTTAATCCCAGGACTCATGAGAGGTATTTAAGACAGGAACAGGGTCTCAGAAGTGGCACATTTAGGATAGGAGGGATTGATTCTCCAGCCACACTGAGGAGAGGTTACAGTCTGAGGCTTGGTGAGAGCTCATGGAGACAGGACCAGGCCTTTCAACCTGAGGTGGAGGTAAGAGGCAGTGGCTTGGCTGCTTTGCTTCTCTGATCTTCAGCTTGAAGCTTGGACCCCAATATCTGTCTCTGGATCTTTTATCTTTAGTGTTGCAACGTTTCATCTGGATAGAAAACCATGATGATTATTCAGAGACTGAGCTGCAGGTGTGGATGTAAACACAGAGTGGGGTCAACCTAAGGAACCTCCCTGAAGAAGAAACAGCAGGACATGGGGACAGACCAAACATACCAAGAAACTATCCAAACAAAAACCCCAAAACAAACCTGAAAGCGTGTGGCACCAGGAAGCACATGCTCCCTAAACACAGGAAAATAAGAAAGAAATTTGGAGAGAATGATAATGGTGGCAGTCATTTTGCCCCCACACCCTCCCCACTCCCCAGGCCTCCCATGGGCCCTTGGGTGTCCTCAGGCAGCTCAGACTCCTAAAAGGACAAAAGTGGATGAAGACATCCCAGAAGCCTCCCTGTCGTATGCACAAGCCGGTTCCTGGCACATGACCATCAACTTACTGGGTTGCTTATTTCACAATTTTATCTTTCATTGCTTTATAACCGAGCCCCTGGCTTGGTTGCACAACTTAACCCTGAGATGTGGAGCTCATGATTTCCTTTGTCAGAAATGTAAAGATGTGAGAAAGATAAGAAAAGGAATGTGGAGCCTGGTGGCGGTGGCGGTGGCAGTGGTGGTGGCGCACACCTTTAATCCCAGCACTCGGGAGACACAGGCGGATGGATCTCTGTGGATTCAAGGCCAGCCTAGTCTACAGAATGAGTGCCAGGACAGCTAGGGCTACACAGAGAAACCCTGTCTCAAAAAACAAAAGAAAAGAAGATGACTGTGGCACAGAACTGCTCACAGTTTTAGCTGGGGTGGGGGTGGGAGGGTGCTGCTATTTTAGATTACATTATTTATGTTTTCGGGCACACACATGCTGGGCTTCTATATAGAGGTCAGAGGACAGCTTATGGGAGCTGGGTCTCTCCTTCCACTGTGTGAATTCCAGGAATTGAACTCAGGACTTCAGGCGATTGGCAAGTGTTGGACACAACTTTTTTCTTTTTGCAACATGATTTCTAAAGACTCAGGAAGCCTTCATGCTTCTGTAACAAGCTGTGGTGATATATTATTTAGGATTTATTAAAGCTTGCCCAAAGATTCAGAAAGCAAAATCAGCCACAAGCCATAGAGCCAGGCACTCACCTTTAATCCTAGGATGCAGGATTAAGAGGTAGCTGGATCTCTCTGAGTTCACCCAGGGATACATGAGATTGAATCAGTCTAAAAAAGTAACAAATCACATGCCTTTAATTCCAGCACTGGAAGGGTATAAAAGATAGAAGCAGGGTCTTCAGTATTCAGTAGGAGGCATTCATTCTCCAGTCACTCTGAGGAGAGGTTACAGTCTGAGGCTTGGTGAGAGCTCCTAGAGACAGGATCAGCCCTTTAGGCATGAGGTAGATAGAGGTAAGAACTAAGTGGACAGCTACTTTTAATTTCTGAACTTCAGGCAAGCTTTAATAAATCATAAATAATACAGGACCACACACATGCACTTTACTGACTTTCAATTTTGATATAAGAGTTCAGGTATGTCCTGGCAAATACTGAAGCAAAAGAATTGTTATGATGAGTTCAAGACCAACCTGAGCTACATTGCAAGAGTAAAATATTAAAAAAAAAAACATACACACAATAAAAAGAACTCCTGTATGCCAGATGATACAAATATAGATGGAGCTGGAGAGATGGCTCAGTGGTTAAGAGCACTGACTGCTCCTCCAGGGGACCCAGGTTCAATCCCCAGCACCTACATGGCAGCTCACAACCATCTGTAACTCCAGTTCCAGGGCCTCTAACACACTCTTCTGGCTTCATTGAGTACTAGGCACTCATGTGGTATACAGATATATATGACGGCAAAACATTTCATACACAAAAAATAAATCTGAAAATATAGAATGGTTGACAAATGCTTATGTTACGCTTCTCCAGGGACTATGCTAATCCTGTATGGTTTCAATTTTGGTCAAAATTGACCAAATTTTGGCCAAAGCAAGCAATCTTATACTTAAAAAAAAAAAAAGATTTTATTTTACTTTTTCTTTCCATATGTGTGTCTGTGTCTATTCACAAGATTGAGGACAACTAGGCTACATGATAGCCTGTCTCCAAGCCAATAATAATAAGGTATTAACACTTCAACTACAACTACAATAAAAAGTAAAGAGCTACAGTGTCAGAAACAAACACAACCTGCCTTCTCCTGGTGAGCGTTTTCTGCAAAGGGCCGAGGAGCAAGCATTTGGGTCTGTTGCTCCCGAGTTCTGTTGGAGCTGCTCACCCCTTCAGTGGCCAGGAAAGCAGTCATGCTAGGGATGATGCTTCAGCCACAGACACTGACATTCCATCTTAAATGTTAGCTGAGGGGCTGGCTCAGTGTGTGCCTGCAAGCTCAAGGCCCAAGCCCAAGCCCAAGCCCCAGTGCCCATGTAAAGATGACAGGAATGGTACACCAGTCTGTAGTCCCAGTGCTGGGGGTCAGAGACAGGAGGATCCTGGGGCTGGATTGGCAATCAGGCTAGCCCAATTGGTGAGCCCCAGGCCACTGAGAGGCCCTGCTGCTCAGGAGGTTGACAGTGTTCCTGAGAATGACACTCCAAGTTGTCCTCTGGCTTCCACATGCACACATGTTCACACGCCTGCACACCACACCATACAGATGATATCAAAACACACACCATGCAGATACCAACACACACACCATACAGATACCAACACACACGCCATACAGATACCAACACACACGCCATACAGATACCAACACACACGCCATACAGATACCAACACATTCGAGTACACGCACACACATGCACAGTGTGGATCTGGGTCTCTGGCCAGTCCATCACTGCCCATCTGAAAATATAAAAACTATTCTTAGCTGGAAGGCCATTTTGAAAAACAGGCCACAGGCTGCATTTGATCCCCTTCCTGTAGTTGGTCAACCCTGCTCTAAACACTTGACCTCAATTCTGCTAAAAATGCTTATTGCATGTTATTATCTTGTATCTAAAAGCTGGGGAGAAGCGGGGAAATTAGATTTATCATGCTCTAAGAAAAATTTAAAACACCATGTAACATAATTTCAGACTTGGAAAAAAATAACACAGAACAAAGAATCCTTTCATCGGCTGATTCCCCAAATGTCACCATTTTTTTCCATTTTTTCCATATTCACTTTCTTTTCTCTGGGTCTCTTCATGCTTGGAATACCAACTTGGGGATACATTTTCTGTCCTCCATCTTTTTTTTTTCCTGAATAGAGTCATTGGAAAAAAAATGTGTTCAAAAAGAATAAAATAAAAGGGGGGGGGCTGGAGAGCTGGCTCAGAGGTTAAGAGCACTGGCTGTTCATCCAGAGGTCCTGAGTTCAATTCCCAGCCACCACATGGTGGCTCCCAACCATCTATAATGAGATCAGCTGCCCTCTCCTAGTGTGCAGGCAAACATGGAGGCATATACTCATAATAAACGAATCTTCAATAAAAATATAAAAAACGAAGAGAGCAGAATAGTCTCTCACATTCCCACTGTAATGATCAAATCAATAAATCAACAACAAAAAACAAACCTTTTAAAAAAAAAAAAAAAAAAGATAAGGTCTCATGTAAGCCAGGCTGGCCTTGAATTCTCTGTGTAGCCAACAATAACCTTTAACTTCTGATCCCCTTGACACCACCTCCCAAGTGAAAAATATTATTTAATCCTTTGTCTGTGGGCCATTATCAAATGAGAACACTAGCTAGGAAGTTATGGCACACTCCTTTAATCCCAGCCCTAGAGAGGCAGAGGCAGCAGGATCTCTGTGAGTTCAAGGCCAACCCGGTCTACAGAGTGAGGTCCAGGACAGCCAAGGCTATACAAAGAAAC